AGTGCAGCACTGTCGTATTTACTATTGAAAAAAATCCGAGTAAAAGTGGACCCCCACCGTTCAAACCCAAGTTGTTCAGGGTCAACTGTATAGTCAAAACTACAGTAATCAAAACAGTATGGTATTGACATAAAAACAGACCTTGAGATCAATAGAATAGAATAGAGAACACAGAAATAAGGTCACTTAATTGGCCTTATATGGGCACTTAGTTTACCACATAGGTGCCAAGAACATACAATGGGGAAGGTCAGTCTGTTCAATAAATGGTGTTGGAAAAACTGGACAGCCACATGCAAAAGAATGAATCTGGACCACTATCTTACACCATACACAAAAATCAACTCAAAATGGATTAAAGACTTGAACATAAGACCTGAAAGCATAAAACTCCTAAAAAGAAAACATAGGGGGTAAGCTCCTTGACATCTCTCTTGTGATGATTTTTTGGATTTGACACCAAAAGCAAAGGCAACAAAACCAAAAATAAGTAACAAGCATCTGCACAGCAAAGGAGACCATCAACAGAGTGAAAAGGCAACCAATGAATTGGGAGAAAGTATTTGTAAATCATATACTTGATAAGAGGTTAATATCCAAAATATACAAAGAACTCATACAACTCAACAGCAAAAAGACAATCAGATTAAAAAATATGCAGAGGACATTTTTGCAGAGATGTGCAGATGGACAACAGGCACATGAAAAGGTGCTCAACATCACTAATCATCAGGGAAATGCAAATCAAAACCACCATCATATATCACCTCACACCTGTCAGAGTGGCTATCATCAAAGGGACAGGAGATAACAAGCGTCTGATGAGGGTGTGGAGAAAAGGGAACCCTCATGCACTGTTGGTGGGAATGTAAATTGGTGCAGCCACTATGGAGAACAGTATGGAGGTTCCTCAAAAAAATTAAAAACAGAACTATCATGTGATCCAATAATCCTACTTCTGGGTATCTATAAAAAGGAAATGAAAACAGGATCTGGAAGAGATATCTGTACCCCGCATGTTCACTACAGCATTAGCCATGAACGCCAAGATATGGAAACAACCTAAGTGTCCATCGATGGATGGATGGATAGAGAAGATGTGATACATAGGTATGTATATGCGTGTAAACACACATACATACGCACAGGAATACTGTTCAACCACAAGAAGGAAGGAAATTCTGCCATTTGTGACAACATGGGCAGACCTTGAGGACATTAGGCTAAGTGAAATAAGCCAGACAGAGAAAGACAGACAATGCATGGTAGCATTTACATCTGGAATTTTTTTTAAAAGTCCAAGTCATAGACACAGGGAGTACAAATGTGGCTGCTACGGGCTGGGGGCGTGGAGGAAACAGGGAGAGGCTGGTAAAAAGATTTCAGCTCTAAGATGAATAAGGTCTGAGGATCTAATGTAAAACATGGTGACTACAGTTGACAACACTATTATATAATTCAAATTTGCTAAGAGAGGAGAACCTAACTGTTCTCATTTTTAAAAAAGGATAAACATGTGAAGTGATGGGTGTGCTAATTAACTAGATGGGGGGATCCTTTCACAATGCATATGTGTCTCAAATCAGCAACATGTACGCTTTAAATATCTTATAGTTTTATTTGTCAATTATCCCTCAACAAAGCTCAAAAAAAAAAAAAGAAAATCACGCCTGTGCCCACATTTACGTTTTGGGTATATTCACATCAGCAACTGACACAGTCTGCAATCCAGGTCTCGATTACTCTCCTCTACCCATAAGTCTTGTGCCCTACGCACCATCTTCCCCCGCTTAACGCCCACGTCCTTCCACTCACCAGGCTTCTCTCCTGAAAAAGTCTCCAAGTAGATTTTCAAAAGATAAACAATCTTCCGTACAGCATATGACACTGTTCACATCCTCCATCCCCAGGAAACACCAGCCAGCTTCCCACAACAGTGAATCACAGTCAGTGTTCAGTTATCCAGGGAAGAATTAAGCGCAGACTATACACTGTCAAGTTCATTCCAGTGGAAAAGGAAGGGGCTTGCGGCCGTGCTCCTCCCATGAGCTCCACTCCCCCTGTATCAGGCAAAGTCAAGCCAGAGAGTTCTGAAGTCCGTAATTTCAATGTGTGTGTGTGTGTGTGTGTGTGTGTGTGTGTGTGTGTGTGTGTGTGTGTGTGTGTGTGTGTGTGTGTGTGTGTGTGTGTGTGTGTATGTGTGTGTGTGTGTGTGTGTGTGTGTGTGTGTGTGTGACTGTGTGTGTACAAGAATACAGGGCAGGGAAATGCAGTCCCTGGACACAGCGGGCTCAGGGACCCCCTCATGTCACCGTGAGATGCAGCTCAGACATCCCTCCCCAAGACCTCTCCCCTCGGCCCAGCCCCAGGGGTAGGCGGGCTGAGACGGCCCCAGCTTGGGCTGCCCGGCAGCGGGGAGGCGCTTCCGAGGCTGACCCCTCACGTAGCACTTTACCAGGTCGGCACTGCTTTCCTTTCTTTCCAGGACAGGGCAAGTGACAGGATGGCCAAGCCGTCACTTTTCCTGCGGGCACATCAAAGACCCCTGACCCAGCAGCACGTGCGGGTTCCCACCCGTTACTGCTTAACCGACGTGGAGACCCATTACCCGCTAAGGCACCCAGCCTGCCCTGTGCCACGGGACCCATGACGCCTCAGCCCCACTCCCCGCTTCTTTAAAATTCACTCAGTTTACCCTGCCTCGGGCACCTGAAACTTGCTTTGAGAGCCTGACTGCAGCTGTCACCAGAGCCCCAGAGCTGTCAGGGTCGCGCCCCATCCCACAAGGCCACGAGAAAGAGAGTCCGGAACTGTATTTCATCTATTTTTGTAGCTGCTAAAACAGTCACTGCAGGAAAAACAGCCCAGAATCCAGCTGTGCTCACAGTCAATATTTATTACACGAATGGACAGCCCTAGTGGTTTTCCCACTGGACAGTTTTCAAAACCATGAAAGTAATTTTTAATAAGCAAATCAGGGCTTTGGTGTGGCTCTCATAAACGTATAGGAGTAATTATTTTAAATTACATGCATATAAATATTTTTGTAAGTATATCCGCGTGATAATCTATGTATGACTGTCCATCTAGTGGTACCCAGGCGTCGACTCTTGTTTGTGTGATGGTAACAGACTTCTCCTGGGCACCTGTGCAGAATATACTGCCCCAATTAAGCGTGTGACTTCCCCGACTCACCACTTTCTGGAAGAGGACCCTGACAGTCACTGAGAGTCTATTAATATCATCCATGACCAAGACCTTCTAAAGAAGTCCTGTCAGACTCCGTGACTGATGAATCACTAGAGAATTCTGATGACCAGATTCCAGGATTTGCGCTAATTCCTAGCTTGTACTCCCATGAAATCTGACAAACTGATAAATACGTGAATGCATTTACAAACGACCAAGTTGTAAAAGGTTCCACTTCAATGACTATTGAAAAAATTGAATGGTCACAGCCAAGACTTTTTTATGTAAATGGAAACCTCCCAGGATTAGACATGAAACACCCAAAGGCGTTCCACCCATATAAGGTCTGGAAGAGAAACCTTGGAGGGTCCGACCAGTGCCTGGGGGGATGTAAAGCCAGTGAAAACCAGCAATGTCCTGGGGGGAGGGGGACCTCAGGGTCACTTACAGGGACACAGTAAGCGGGAGGGCTTGGATCAGCTGCTGAGATGAGCTCTAGTCTCTCAATTCCAAACCAGGACCCAGAACTGGAAATCATAATGGACGCCTCGCCCCTTTAAACAGGTGGGAGACTGTCGTTTGCTCCAAAGAAATCATAAAGGAGAATTCATCATCTTACCCTATGAAACACTACATATTGATTCCATGCCCTTCTGCTCACCACACACCAACGGGGAATGTAACTGAAATCAAGGTGATTCCAAAAAAAAAAAAAAAAAAAAAGTGGTTGAGGAGAAAAACCTGACTTATAGTAGTAGCTTTAGACCAAATGAAGGAAAATTCTAACTTATATTAAACTAATAAATCTATAGCAATAAAACCAAGAGAGTTTATAGCCCAAAGTTATACGTTCAAGAATAGCTTAAAGCCAAACTTATGGTTACCAAAGGGGAAAGGTGGGTATGCGTGTGTGCGTATATATATTCAGTCATATATATATGACTGGATCACTTTGCCGTACACATGAGACCAACAGAACACTGTACATCAATTACACTCCAATGTAAAATAAAAATTAAAAAAAAGAAATAGAATAGTTCAAAGCAATTTATGAATACTAGAAGCAAAATAAGGTTTTGAGGGAAAGGTCATAAACTGGGTGTTACCCCTACACTTCGGGGCAACGCTCTGAAGGTGAAATTGGACCTTCTCAGAAAGCACTTCTACTGCCCAGCCAGAGCTGGGACCCCAGATGAACTGAACCATTAGACAGCATCTCTTATGATCTAAATCAAATGTCCCAAGCCATTCGTTAGGGCTAAGAAATGTCTGTTACGACACATGCTTTTGTCCAGGGTCTGTCATGATCTCAATCCACGTGCTGTATCTACAGGCACGATTTTAACGCACGAGCAGATTCTCATGCAAACCCTTCCTCAGAATCCTTATCTGTTTGCATGTTTTGATGGAGACTCATCTTCCCAGCATCCAAATTGGAATGACGCCTTCACTAGATGGAGCTCACCCTGAAGTCAGCTCCTATATATCCTGGACCACCCCCCGCCGGCCCAGGCGGCACGCAGGGGGCTCAGCTCCTCCAGACACAAGACTACCTGTCCGGCCCAGGAGCAGAGGCACTAGGGCGGCTCACAGGTTGGATGTGCCCACTGCCCTGCTTCCTAGCTGATGCCACCACGTGCCAAAGCAGGAACGGTGAGTCTAATTTTTGAACCAGATCCGTTGGAAACTTACGTTTTACGAGGCTCAACGAATCAGAGCTGCGTTTACTGTCATTCTACTGATGCAGAGCGAGCATCTGAGGCAAAAGCGGCAAGTGCTCCCGTCTGCTTTGGGCAGGAGGCCGCACTCACCTTCGGCACTCAGTTATGAGACAGGACGCACACACGGAGCTCCTCCGCAAGTGAATTCTTCAACTGACAGCACCCGCGAAGTCACCAAGCTGCAGGAATTCTCCAAATTCTCAAATCCAACTCAAACCTCAGCGGAGGGTTATGATCTGGGAAATCACTTGTAGAAAAGGAACATGGGAAATCTAAAAAGGAACAGAAAGAACCGTCTATTAGGACCGCTTGCTGGGTTGGTTTTAAGTCACTGGTTGAGAAATAACTGATGATTTATTTGCCTGAAACCATTATTTTTAATTGACCCCAGAAAAAAGGTGCTTATATTTACTGACCTCAACCCAAACCGAAACGCCCTCACCCTGCTCCACCTTCCAGGCCCCGGGCCGGCTCGGAGGCAGAGGCTGGGAGGGCTGGGGGCCCCTGGCCATAGCCGAGGGACCTGAGCTCCCAGGTGTCTCCAGCCCCCTCGCCCCAAAGCCCCAGTGCCCATGGCCTCAAAGACTGCCGAAAAGAAAGGCGCGGTTGCCAAGCGGAAATTCCAAAAGCCTGTCTGGGAGGGAGAAGAACCACAGAGCGTGGCTATCATTCAGACACTCCATCTCCTGCACTGGCCGTGCACTGAGAGGGGTGCACCCCTTCCCCCCAACCCACAGCTTGTGCTTATTGGGGTGAGCATACACACACCACTCTGTATAAAACAGATACCTAACAAGGACCTACTGTACAGAACAGGGAACTCTGCTCAACACTCTGTTATGACCTCTATGGGGAAAGAATCTGAAAAAGAAGAGATATATGTGTGTATAACTGATTCATTTTGCCGTACACCTGAAACTAACACAACATTGTACATCAACTCTACTCCAATAAAAATGAAAAAAAAAAAAAATCCCTGCAGGAATCTGAGGACAGCACCCCGAAACTACAAGGAAGTCAAACCGAGGAGCTGACGGAGGGGACCCGCAGTCCCCCCTCTCCTGGCCGCGGAGCCTGCCGTCACCTCATGGCCACCACACCTGGGTAACCATTTTCAGTCCCAACCTATCATTGCAGGGGACCCTGAGGCTCTGTGGACCTCCGAGGGGGTTCACTGTCATCTTTAATTATGCTTCAGACCCAGAAGGGATCCGTCCTGACAGCTCACTCCGACAAGATCTATTAATTCACCCCCAGCATGAGGATGACCCAAAACGTTAAACATCCCACAGAAAAGTCGAATTCTATTTTAGTCAAATAGAAAAGGATAGTTCAAGTAGGGCTTTCATAAAAATGTTATAAGGCAAGTTCATAAATTTTGATTAAAAAATGAATTCCTCTCTAGGCATTCTCTGGTATTATTTTAAGGGCTTGCATGATTCTTCTTAAACGTATGATTTAACACAGGACAAGGCACTGGGCAAACACGGGGATACAAGATTGGGACAAGATGTTAGACATGCAACAGGAGGACGGCGCCCTTCTCTCTGCCAAGTGTTTACAGTAACATGACAGGTTCTGCAGAAACAGACGTTCTGGTATCTGGACTTGGGGATCCCGACCAAGGATTCTGGTTTCTCACTGTGGGACTTACCGTGACGTGCCATTTACTGGAGAAAGCCACCAGCTAAACACAGCTGTGCCCGCAAGCACCAGCGCCATATTAGTATTTTCATGGGTCCTTCTGGACTTAAGTTGTAGTTTTAAATTTTCCATTGAAAAGTGAACATGCCTGAGTCAGATCTCCCCAAACCAATGCCCGTGGGCCTCTGGAGGCCTGTCTGGGTTGCCCTCCGCGTGTACAACGCTCTCACAGGGGGTGTTATTTAACCCTCCCAATAACCACCTGGGTTAGATATTAACACCCACTTTTATTACACGGGGATAATCTCTCGATATCTTTATTACACGGGGATAATGTCTCTAATCTCTATTACATGGGGATAATCTCTCGATATCTTTATTACACGGGGATAACCTCTCGATCTCAGAGAGGTGAAAGGCTCTCCTTAGTCGGCTCTAGCGTGAGGAATGCAGGCCTCCAAAGCTCTAAACCCACCGCACCGGCAGCAAACTTAGTGCCGGAGAATTTACCTGCCCAGCGCAAAAGCACGACGGCCTGGCTCTGGAAGCCCCGTCCTCTGACACTCGGTGCGGCGGAAAAGCCAGACAAAGGTGCGGGATCTGAGCTAACGGAGAAGCCCCAACCGGAGGCTCTGCTTCAAGTTCACGTACAGATGCCCTGGCCGCCTGGGGACTGACTGTGAGAGAGGGAGGGGCAGCGTCTTCCTTGAGAAAAGCATTTCACTGACGAAGCGTCAATGAACGAAGCACACACCTTAGACAGAAATGAACACAGAGACCAAAACCGCTCTCCTGCTGGGTCTACATGCAGTCTGCCCACCACCATGCTTAACGTGGGTTATGGGCTTATTCAAAACCTCTGCTAAGGGTGAGCATTTCAGATCAGGTCTTCATTACAACCTGTGATCAAATCCATCAGGAACGCGTACACTTCTGTGCAGAAAACCACCTCCGACTGCAAACACTGCCAGGTTCAAGGTCACTGGGACCGTGGAGGCCCTCACCCAAGAGGTCACTCAAGGACTCCGCACAGCCCGCTCAGGCGGGAGGGGACACGTGGGACGGTGCACGCTCGTCTTTAAAGCTATTTCTCCACTAGCATCACCTGCATCTCCCCACAGAAATAGAGAGGAGGAGGAGGAAGGAGTGGAAAGGAATGAACACGAATACCAAATGCACCTCTTTCTCCACATGGATCTGGATCCGAATCACTTTACCAATGCAAAGTCCACACGATATCTGAATTCCCTGCAACAATGAGGTTTTCTTTTTCCCAACTGTGTTTGGAAAGCCCAGGCCCAACCTGGGGGTCTCCACAGCCTCGGGGGGCATTTGGCTGAGTGCCCACACCGCCGAGGGTGCCCGGGGTGCCTGACCCAGCCGGCCTCCTGGGGAGTCGGGGCAGTTTCCCCCGAACCTCCGTGCGTGTGGCCGTCCAGTGTCGGCGTCCATCACTAACGGGCTTCCCTGCAGTGGAGTCTTCAGGGTTCATGAGAGGCCCGCGCCCTTCTGCTGAGGCCCAAGGTCACTGGACACGCTGCCCTGCCTACTTGCCAACTGGCCGAACTGCCCAGAGGACTAGAATCCCCAAAAGGCTCCCCGCAGAGACCAGCCTCCCTCCTCCTGACCCGCAGAAACAGAGGAGCAGGCTGGGGAGAAGCGCTCGGACAGGCCCCAGGAGACACAGTCCCGGCGGCTCCACCTTCGCCAAGGCGTCGTCCACCTCCACGGCAACCCTGGGACACACACCTGACTATCAGCTCAGGAACGAAACCACCACACCCTCAGGCCGCAGCCAGGATTCGGGCCCAGGCCTGTCTGCCTGCAAAGCCCTCTTCCTCCCCACAAAGATCACCACTAAAGGGCCAGAACCTCGAGGTGCGGGCAAAGGTCATCTGTCGCCACCATCTCTCTGGAGTGTCTGCCACGCTGGGGGGCCCTGCTTCAGCCCCTCACACCAGGGAGGGACAGCATCACACAGCTTCCAGGACTCAAGCCCTCGACCACACACACCACCTTAATTTGAGAAAGGGGGAGGGGGGTGGGGGAGGGATGGTTGGGAGGTTGGGGTTACTAGATGCAAACTATTCTATATGGGATGGATAAACAAGAAGGTGCTACTGCAGAGCGCCGGGAACTCTATTCAGTGTCCTGGGGTAAACCATAATGGAAAAGAATATAAAAAAAAGAATGTCTATATGTGTATAACTGTGTCACTTTGCTATACAGCAGAAATTAACACATTGTAAATCAACTATACCTCAACAAAAAGTTTTTTTAATAAATTATATAAATAAATAAAACAAAGGTACTGGGGCTTCCCTGGTGGCGCAGTGGTTGAGAGTCCGCCTGCCGATGCAGGGGACACGGGTTTGTGCCCTGGTCCGGGAGGATCCCACATGCCACGGAGCAACTCGGCCCGCGAGCCACAACTACTGAGCCTGCGCGTCCGGAGCCTGTGCTCCGCAACAAGAAAGGCCGCGACAGTGAGAGGCCCGCGCACCGCGATGGAGAGGGGCCCCCGCTTGCCACAACTAGAGAAAGCCCTCGCACAGAAACGAAGACCCAACACAGCAAAAATAAATTAATTAATTAATAAGAACAAGTCACCGAGACCTGCAGTTTAAAAAAAAAAGAAAGAAAAAACAAGCCATGATTATTATAGGCCCTTTCTTCGGCCTCTTCCCCGTCCCAATGGGACACCACTCTCCAGACCAGACCCCTCGGTGGCCCAGGTGGTCGCCCAGCTCAGAATGAACACCAGGATTGCCCCCTGACCAGGCCCACCTGGGCCAGCGTGGCCTCGCTGACCTCCCGCAGAACTAGCGGTATTTCACATCTACTCAACGACTTGGTGGAAAACTTGATTTGAGTGGGAGAATGCTGGTTTCAGACACGGAACAGAGGTACACAAAAGTCTCCTTGAATGACCTGGCTGAAGATGAACCCTGGTTCCTGCCTCGTGTGGACGGACACTGGGCCGCTGAGAAAGCGCTTCTGGATCTGACACCCGGGCTTCCAGGGAGAGGATCCACCCACCTCTCATCACCCCTCGCGCAGCGGCCCCGCCAGGCCTCAGTGCTGACGGCCAGATGCGGGGTTCCACGGGTTAGGAGGTCCCGCCGAAATCAGGACTCTTACTCAAGATAAAGCTGTCCTGAAAAGGGAGCCATCACATTTCTCCGCAATGGGCTGGAATCGATTTTAAACGCTAACACTGGTTATCAGTTGATTGTGTCTGTGCATCAGAAGCTGATTAATGAAAACAGGGCAGAAGAAGTACGAGTTTCTAACTCTGTGAACAGCCTGAGGGAGACAAGTCTTCCAGGACTGAGAACGAATCTGCCAGCAGCGGGTCGACCACACACACCGGGACCAAAGTGGCCCAAGGCCACGGGTCCCAGGCCCGGCTCGGCCACCACACGTCCCGGCGGTCCTGTGCCTCTGTGTCATCTTCCGTGACGAGGGTCCCTCTGCTCCAAGCTGTAGCTGTGAGATCAGCACATGGGAGTGGACGTGAGAATTATCCAAAATTGATGATGTGGTACCAGAAATGTATTAAAGCTTACCTAAAATACCATGACAAGGAGTCATAATGCAAACCTTAATGTGGACTTCAATTTTATAG